TATCTTACTAAATCGATCATTTTTTGTTTATTTGTATGTGTGTAAACTTGTTAAACAATATCAACGAATCTTCATATACAATTAATTAGAGAAAGAGTCATCTCTTATTCCCTTATTGCTCGTGAAAGTTTAACAGAAAGATTAAGTTTCGAAACTTCATTTAATTTTACATCAATAATCAAATTTTACTGCCTATAAAGTTGTAGTAAATGGCACTAAAGGATATAATTGTTATCGCATAAGACCCACTGTGATCTTTGTCTGAACCAACGTTAAACATATACTGAAATTAAATGTTTTTAAGAAATAGTACGTCAAGTAACGATTGAATTGACGGTAAAACAAGCTCAATTTGGATTTTCAGTTAAATCAGCTGGGTTCCATACTTCGCTAGAATTACCGAAAAATTGACTGGTTTCTCATGCTGTGTGAGTGATAACTAAACAATGAAATAATACACGTGCCTATAACTAACCTATCGTGTACCATACATGGTTAACTGATTTTTATATTAAACTTTCTGCACCAAATTCATTCATTCATAGGTCTTACTGCCAGCACTTGGTTTGCTGACGAGGCATTCATGTCTCATCTCATATGAATATACGATTGTCATAGACAGAGTACCTGCTCCGTAAAATCACAGAATTTTGTAGTCTGACATGTTAAACTGTTCCGTCAATATATCTTGAAAACTACGTTTACTCTTCACATACAAAAATTAATTACAAACTATATATAGAGTCAGAGATGGTTAACTCCGATTTCAACTCCGTTAGCAACTACTGTAATTATTGGTATAACTCTGTAGGAACCGCTGAACTTTATTTGTATTAGTGTCAATATTACCCAAATATACAGTCTAACTCCGATAAATTTTACATAATTTCACCGAAAAGCCCTTCAACTCCAAAACTGCCAGTTGGAGTTGTCCATTTCTGTATAGAGTTCAATGAGTTGGTACCAGTTTCATCTGATACAGTACATAGAAACAAGTAACTAATAATTGATTCAAACATTCTTCGTTTATCCTATCTGGCTCCTAGAAAGGAATATAGGGTTGAACCAATGCATGATTTGATAAACAGTTAATGCTGTGCTTAACTCATGAAATTACTGCTAATTTGAACATATCCATAAATGAAGTAGCAGTTAATACGTGTTGTACAACAAAATTTATAATATCATATTCGAAATGTAAATTCCATCATGGTGTATTCTGTCCTTAAAAAAGGAATGAAAAAGATATGTGCAGAATGACTATTCTTTGTCTATTTTTATGTTTTGCTCTAGATAATTGAAAATCTTTTATAGACAATTTTGTACCTTATTCTCCTTTATTTAGCTCATCGTATTCAAGTCAACTCATCATCAATAATTTTTTGTGTTTCTTTGTATTCACGATACATGCATCGATCTCACACAGCGATAACAAGAAAAAACATCGTGTATATAATACAAATGTGAAAATAACATATTTATCATTCTACAAGTACTCATGAAAAAATGATTGATTTTGGTTCTTCAAGAAATTTGTGTGAATGATACAAGAAAAGCTAGACCTTGTGAGTAGACTATATGATCCTCTTACTGTAGTAATTTTCGTAGAGCTATTGGAATTCAATTTTTTTGTGTGTCATATATCTCAGAGACGCAGTAATGAGAAATTGTTTTAATTAAACGATAGCTAGTCTGGTTTATTACAAATAACGTCTTTGCAGATTTTGGATTTGATGCTTCATTTATTTTTGGCAGCTTTTCTACAAATGTCTCCAGTGACCTGTAAAGAGTAAAGAACTAACCTATTTAGGGATGATCCGTTAAGAAGATTATTGAAAATTTTTTTAATATGTTTTCTAAAATAGTCTGAGCGAAAATAATTGATGTAAACTTTGGTAATATAGATGTGAGATACTTTCCCTTGAGAAGTATCAAGATAAAGTCTTTGTATGTTAGAAATATTAGAAGTTCGGATCACGTTATGGAAATAAAATAGAAAAACTGTGAATAAAAACGTTGTCGAGTATAGAGAAAATAACGATAAGAAACAAGAAACGTAGAAGATGATTCTTTTTTTTTGTTATTGAGCAAACAGAAGTGTGTAAATTTATGGCATCGCGTAGTCTAATATCTAATACAGAAAGAAAAAAATAAGACAAATTTTCCTCTTCTTCTTCTCGTTATGAGTGACAATTGGGTAATGCTAGTTGTATTTATTCAAGACAAGATCTAGCTTAGAGAGAAAGAGTGTGTGTGTGTATGTGCATGATATAATAGTAAAGATGAATACAAGTACTCGAAACTTTTTTTATATTAGATTTATTAACATCAATAATTAAAACAGACAGTAAGCATAATACTAGTTTTGTCAAAACTAATACACTCATCTGTGTGCAAGTTTCTTTCACATAGTGAAGATAAATTTTTTTTGACTAATAGAAATGAGAAGTCGGTACCCTTCCTAGTTCATGTCTCAATATTTTTGAGCGAAGAGATTTGCCTTTAAAACATTAGAGCTGTATGCATAATATTCATATTCTATCACGATGGGATAATTCACATGGTGAACATTTAGACTAAAAGAAAATGGTCAAAATTTCTAACAGAATTGGGTGAGGAAAGTGATTTATCTTCACAATTAATAATCTAGAAATTGATCTTGTATCAATCCATCATTAGGTTTCGGAGATTTCGATTTTCGATTTTAAACATCTTAAACTCTTCCTCTGGGTAGAATTCATTCATTTGAGTTATTTGGAAAATCTTACTATAGAAAACCAATCGCATTGTCATCCGACAGCATATGTTATATCAGAGAGAAATTTAAGCATCTGATAAGCGGAGAAGGAGGGTGGAGCGCAGCATGAGAGTGAATCATCACATCGAATTTTATTTTTGGTTTCCAAATTCTCATGCTTGTATAGAACAAATGTTAGTAGTAGAAAGTATTCAAAATATCAGACATGATAAAAAATTGTTTACATTTTTTCTCATATTTTTTGTTCTATAAAGAAATCACCCCCACTCAGTCACAGTCATTCCGAAAATTGCAGAATTCCAAGATTTACGAAAAATTTCACGCGTTTAGCGAATTTGTGACACAAACACGCAAGAAGCTGCGAGTGTAGGAAAAATAACACGCAGGAAGTGCACGTTATGGAAACAGAGGCTTTACTCACATATTTCTGCCTGTTGTTCGTACATTCACTAAACGCGTTACAGTTTTCGTAAATCTTGGAATCCTGCAGTTTTTGAAATGACTATGACTGACTGGGCAGTAACTGCACTTTACCAACTGAGGAATGTATTTAGAATAAAACGGTGGAATGACAGTATGGATCTAATTTCAAACATGTACTCTAAGACCATATAATAGCCAACACCCAGAGGAAGAGTTTAAGATATTTAAAATCTGAAACCGAAATTTCTATGAATTACCTTTAGAGTTCTGCGTGATTTATTTTTTTGCTCACGATCACGATCACGATCACGGTTGAAATGTAAGTTTTGCGCACAATCACGGTTTTTTTTAAACAATGGCAACCACGATCACGATGCTTTGCAAAGTTATAATCATAATCACGATCATGATCACGTTCACGAACTTTTCGCGAACTTTTCACGATCATCTGTAAGAGTATTTTATTACACCAATATTCGATTGGATGAATAAAATATCCAATCCAAAAACAAAATTGAAGAGTTTTATTTTGTTTGTTCTTATCAAGAAAGGTTGTAATCATGAAAGGAAGGTTTCTAACATATTTCGCAAAGGGTATTTTCTTCCTAATAAAATTATTTTCATTTATTCGTGACGTTTCGAATCACATCATTCTTTCTTTTTCTTTTTCTTTATAACAGTGGTACGGACAAAACGGCACGAGAAAATAGTAGAACGGACACAGAAAATTCTACTATTTTCTCGCACCAGACTATTGCCGTCTTGTCCGTACCACTGTTATAAAGAAAAAGAAAAAGAAAGAACGAAAGAAAGAAAAATTTTACTTATTGTATATATGTTGTGTGTGTGTGTCAAAAAGCCACTAAGATCTAAATTTGTGTTTTGTATATTTTTCGTCTATGTACAAACTTCTGAAGACGAACACTTTGTGATTCGAAACATCAAGGATAAATGAAAATAATTTTATTAGGAAGAAAATACCCTGGATGAATGAACTTTATATTTTTGAATAAATCAAATTTTGAACGTGTACTCCACAATCGTGAATACGAAACTATTTAGTTTGGAACACGATCACAATCATAGAGAAAATGCTTTTGTCGCTCACGACCACGTTCACGATCATGAGAAACCGTCTCAATCACGCACGATCACGATCACGAACGATCGTGATCGTGAAATTATCGATCACGCAGAACACTAATTACCTTTCTACGAAATTTCCGCAATTCCCTGCAACAGAGTTGTTTAATTTATCATACTCTTGACATAACTGGAGAAGTTAAATCATGCAGATAATGAAAAAATATTAATAATTGATAAAGACAGATTCTAAATTAATGATACTAAATTAAAATTTCCGATCAAGAAAGATTTCATATGAGAACATAAAAAGCAAATATTTTCAACTAGTTCCGCTTTGTTCTAGAAGACTAATGGGAAGTGGTAGTAGTAGAATAGCAATTACTTTTGATCGTGGAGAAACATTCTATTTTGCCAATGAAATTGTATCAGGCAAAGTTCAATTGAATATCATCGGTGATGATCGAATTAAAGTTGATGAAGTTTATTTAACTTTAACTGGCGAAATTGGTTATACGACTACGAAAACTCTATACACATCCAAAGGCGGTAAACAGACACGAACAGAATATCATGATGTCCCATTTTTTCAGTCGAAAATCGTATTAGCACACCCCGAACCGCCACAAACGGAACTCATTTATACTGAAGGACAATACTCGTGGCTATTCTCTATTCCATTAACCGCTTATTTACCGCCAACAGTTGGTCAACCACACAAATATCCACATGTTTGTTATTATGTTCAAGTTGTTCTTAATAAACCGTGGTATAAACCGAATACTCGTCAAACATTTTATATAACCGTCTTTCCGCGTGTAAATCTGCTACATATAACAAATATTTTTTTGTCCACAATCTACGGTAATCAGAATCGAAAAGATGTTACGTTGAAAGGAGCATTGAATAAACTTGGCTTTGTTCCAGGTGAAACCATTTCGTCCACACTAGAAATTCATAATCCAAAGCATATCCTAATTAAACACATCAATATTTCTTTAGTTGATACACTTCAGATTGCGTCTAACCGTCGAAGACATTATGTATTTCGTACAACATTACCGCGAATTATAAATACTCACGACGAAACAATATGTGAAACATTTTCAGTCATCATACCTTCAATGTATTTAGCACCATCTTATAAGTATACGGGTGGTCTTAGATCCACTGCTCATGTCTGTATTAGTTATGCACTCAGATTTGAAGTCAAAGTCGAAGGAATATTTACTAATTTTGATATTACAATACCAATCACCATTGGCACAGAACCAGCGCCGCCTCAGTTAGAATTTACACCACAAAATTTGTTAACCGTAACATATACTTCACCAAATGATGATACAAACATCTACGAAGACGACAATGAAGATTCTCCACCCAGTTATGAATCTGTCATGGCAAAACGAGTATGATTTCTATCATATTAAATTTTATGTGATGCTTTTTGAATATTTTGCCTCCATCATAAAGACAAACTGATAATTGGGTATTTTTAACGTTTTTATAATCGATGTAATGTAAGGGTCAATATTCGGAAGATTACCTAAACCGGAAAACTGATGATAGAAAAAATCGGTGAAATTAACTGTGTGATTATTGTACTTCTAGAAATGTTGTCAAAAATTTTCTCATTCTATGCCTTATTAAGCACAAAACTTGGAAGTGTTCTACTTGATCAGCTAATCGTTATAGTATTCTAGTATTTTAGTCAAAACATTTATCTGCACATTTTTCAATCGTGTTTAATGTTAACATTTGAGCAAGTATCGATAACGATTTTGTTATATCAATAATATACAGTCCAAAACACCGGTTAATTTTCATTTTTATATACACTTCACCACGGTCATTCATACCAATTGCGTATATTTGCGACAAAGATTATTATTTCGTCTTCCACTAAGCATAATATCTTATCAGAAAATATGACTGAGATGCTTTTCTATTTCTCTGTCAATCAATTAACTTACATCATTGTACAAAAGTTTTTCTCGTGAATCTAACTTAATCTCTCTGTTAAATTTTCACGAGCAATAAGGGAATAAGAGATGACTCTTTCTCTAATTAATTGTATATGAAGATTCGTTGATATTGTTTAACAAGTTTACACACATACAAATAAACAAAAAATGATCGATTTAGTAAGATATATAACAAGATATAAAAGAAACTATTTCAATAATAAGAAAACGTAAACGTCTAATCTGAGACATAGAATTAATAATACTTATATATACAAAAAAATGCGAAAAAATGTTAGCAAACAAAAACACAAAATAAGTATGAGTACTTGTAGTTGATGGTTATTGCTATTGAACTCTTCATTGTTGAGTGACTGCTATTGTTGTTCAAATTTGTCAACATTAAATTCTCTTATTTGTACCGTTACACCATCAAATGTGACAGTCGTCGTATGAGACGAAGAACTATTCGATGTGGATGAAGATGATGACGATACGGATGATAATGAAGATGGTTTGGACTTTTTCCTACAAACAAGAAGCAAAGATATATTTTCGTATCAACAACAAATGAAATGGTATGTGCTCAACTGACGTCTGACTCACTCGTAGTCTAACATGTTCAAAAAGACATCTCATCTTCTTGAAACGTTATGTCGAATACAGTAGTCGTCAAAAGTTAGCCTCTTCCTCGAAAACTGAAAAATTATGCCGGCTAGTGTCGTCAAACTATGCGTGGATCTAGTATTAGTTATTTGCCGATCATCCCACCAATGTAGGCTTCTAATACTGAATGGTTCAGGAATTATTTGTCTCATCATAATCATGCTAAAACATAACCAAAGGACTCATAATGACAATAAAACTTATGTGGGATACTTTTGGGCTATTTTATCGGTTAATAATAAAAGTAATATAATTCGACGACAAGTCATTAATATTTTACTGAAAAAGCTAAAATCTGTCTATTTCACGAACCGTTCGGTCAATTAGCCTGACAACGTTAAAAATAACTCCAAACATAGGTTTTCGACCACGCTGAGTCTCACGACAATGTTTGTCTTCATAGATTTTACCGAATAGAACACTGAATCGTTTATGAGCACAAATTTCAAATTTCGTATGACATTAAAACTTTCTTGCAAAGCACTATTCATTCTCCCAGGTAACAGCATTCTAGATCGCTGTATATTAATTCATCATTGTACTGCCATTTCAGCCTCGAAAACTAGAGTACCCACATATTATTAGGTAGACGGAGTGCGGAATCATATAGACGGTATTTCATTGTCTCATCATCCGGTATTGTTGGGACATTAAGAGAAATTATAAATTCAAAACACTCTTAAAGCAGACACGATATGCTGTTTTATCATTTGATCACTACCCACTACCATCATTCAAACCAAACAATTGTGCGTGAAAAAGTGAGTAAGCGAACATATCTATACTCAAATATACGATTCTGTCATTAATAAGCCTGACGCTGTGCAATTTAAGGGGTTGGTTCTTTAGAAATGCAGCAAAAGTTTAAACCAAGAATCACTATTTACTTTTGTTGTTGGTATAGTACTGGTTTCTTTTTGGACTCATTCGAGGATTTATTATCGTTCCGTTTATTGGAAGTTTTTTGTTGTTTTTGTTTTATATTTTGTTTTCGTTGTTTCAATTTTGATTCGTTGTTGTTATTATTATTATTATTATTATTATTATTATTATTGGATGATGATGTTGATTTAGAACGATGTTGTCGTTTTTTCTTTTCATTCGCTCGTTGTGTAGGTGAAGATGAACGACCTGATCGATTCGTTGTGGTAGAAGACGGAGATGAAATACTATTTTCTAAACCGCCATCTGTTTGATATTCATCGTCTTCGTCATCCTCCAACTCGTTTTCCTCCTAGCAAATATAACTGTTAGAAGTAAACGTACTTCCATATAATTATAAATCTAATACCTCACTCGTTGAGTGTTCATCTTCATCGGTTGTTTCATTATCTATACCATTTTTTCGTTTTGATATCTCATATTGATTTTGTACAATTTTTGGTTTTCTAAATGACAAAACGTGCGTACAGTTCAAACTAAAATAACTCATGATCAAATCCTACCGCGTAGCTGTTCCTTTCCTGGAATCACACATTTCACATCGAAATGCAACACAAGGGTTTTTAAACGTGCACACGGTACAATCCCAAACAGCCTCATTTAAGTTGCCACGCTGACGTTTAACTCTAAAGAACAGTGTCATATAGATTTAGTGTTCGAAGATAAATTCAGACTATAAACAACAAAGTGTTGAATCAGGTATTCTTCCGACTTTGAATTGCTTCATCTTATGTAACAAATACAACTTAGTATAAACAAGTAAAAAGCATCACATAAAAGACTTACTTTCGATCGTTCATGTTTTAGTTATGCTAATTAACCTAATACAGAATCATAACTATACAATAATAGTGAGGCTTTTGCAGCAAAACAATCTAAAGCGAACAAAATTTATTGCAATAAAGCATAAAACATATAAAAGCAAACAAATAGTGAAAATAAGAAAACAACACTGTTGGCATATATAACAGAAACTTAGTTTTACAGCTTCTGCCAAATTAAGTTCATGTGTTCGAATTTATATTCGTACCAAATTGATTTTGTGTTTTTCGATAATTTTAGTTTAAAATACTATGATAGAATATTTTTCCGCTTGTATTCTGACCGAATAAAAGCTGAATGAAAAAAATGAATGAATCGACAATGTACAATTTTGTTAGACTGCATTTCACCACTTCAAAACCATCTTTTCCTTTCCTACATATATGGCTGGAAAAAATATAATTACGCTGCAAAGCTTCGCAAAAGACAGAGATATAGAACGTGATAATTTAGTAAAACCTTCTTACAGATGAGTCCCTTATTTCGGAACAATAGCAAACAGTTTCTAATGAGAAGTTTTTATAGAGTATACATGTACACTTTGTTTTTTTCCGCAAAGTGTACCGTTCCAAACCTAAAAGAAGACAGCTCCAGTGAGAATTTAGAATATAGAAAAATAGAAAAAACTTCATCCTCACAAGATTTTATTTCGATAGTACAAGTTAACAGATATGACATGTATTGATTTTAAAAAAAATCGCAACTTTTGTGTACTTCAGAAGAAGAATTTAGCTCTCAGGTGACTGTTCACTATCGAACGGCCAGCTTAGGAAAAAATAATAATCAAACTTTATCTGTAAAATTTTGTTCCATGTTTTTACTTGTGCTTTCACTATCAACGTTTCATGTTTGAAAAATAAAGTCATGCTGTTTTATCTTCATTGAGACGGGTCGTTTTCTCTAATCTGGCTCTACACATTCAATCTTGATGTTCAAACTGTTCTTTGAACAACTTTCACTAGCTGCTTATCTATCTACGGATGCAATGAACCAACAGTAGGTCTAAAAAGGTTTTATTTGAAAAGAGATAGACAAATCAAATTAAAAACAAGGTTCATGAAGCAACACTATCTTCATTTATATCATGGCGAATCAGCTAGACAGGATAATCATCACCAGTTCACTAGAAAACCAAAGTGCACGTACATTTTGTTCTGCTGTATACACCTTGTCATTAGAAACACTGCTAATGCCAGATATTTTCACTTATTAGCCCTAAGGCCTACGTTGACAAGTGTTATATTACTAATTCGAGATCCTATTTATTAAAAACGTCTTTCAGTAATGCCGTCTATTTCTTCTATTTTAACCACATGAACATCAGTAAATATGTTTTATCTTTTAAAATTTTAGTTGAAATTGAATCTGACCCAGCAAGAAATGGTATAATTTTTGATGGTTCCTAACATGCATTTTCAAGCCATTTATATAATCGTCAAATCCTTAAACATTCTAAAAATAAAAAAAAACAAAAAACGATGAAATCCTTTAGCAGAATCTTAAATTATTGATACGAATGAATGTCAGACATAAAACTAAACAGATAATAAAAGGAGAACTCTTAATGCTAAAGATGAAGAGTACAAAACATTCTTCAACAATAAATCCTCTTGAACTGCTTCTTTCAGAGGCACACAAATTGACCAATACATACTTAACTGAGATGTCGCTCTTAAACGATAGGAAATTTGCAGAGAGTACTAGATGACAAATCCGTTAGAAAGTGAACTTTTGAAATATTTTACTTTGTAGATTCTGCGTAAGATCATTATCTCTGTTATCTAATTCTTAGTTCATTTCATATTTATAAAGTCTAGTGGAATCCGTCGTTTCAATAATAATCATGAGTATAGGAATAACTTAAATCCTGCAGTTTTCTTCTTAATTTCATCCTACAAACTAGGTTAATACTCTCGGTAATTCCAATTATAAACCGTTTGTAAGATGAGGAAAACATGGAGTAAGTGTAAAGATGTATACTAACACAAAATGTGTATCACATATCATCGGAACAAAAAAAATAAAGTTTTAAGCTGCTGAAAAGCGCTTTTTCGTATTCCGCACACGTGATAACCCAGAAGATTTTCTATTTTTGGCGAGGAGTACTTCCAAAAGTTTAGGAAAATTCTGAAACAAAATGGTGCAAAAATATTTTCATGGGAAAATAATTTTAGTTTCAAAATTTTTTCCTAAACTTTTGGCAGTACCCTCGCCAAAAATAGAAAATCTTCAGAGTGATCGAGTATGCTGAATACAAAAAAGCACTTTTCAGCCACTTAAAACTAACTTTATTTTTTTTCCGATGATATGCAACGATAGCCACAGTTGTTAAGCTTGAAGAGAGCAGAGCAAGGATAGTTATAAGCAGAAAAGCAAAACGTACACAATTGCACTCAAATTCAAATCCTTTATTGCACAGGACGAAAATATGAGGTGATGATCAACAATTTTAACATATCCCATATAAAAGTTAAAATTGATTTATTGCACTAAAAGAACCTGTACAAACAATAGAAATAATAAATAGATACAAAAGAAAGAATGAAATAGAAATTGCTTCCATCCATTTTACTATTTATAAGGATGTTCCAAAGGCATCTTTAATTAATCGACGCATAGCAAGACCAACAGATAAATTTTGTGGACCATCAAGACTGAAGGAGATCTAAAATAAAATAAATATAAGTAAACAGACATCTCATATCTTGTTCTTTCTTACTGTGAATAAGTACGGTTGAATATCTACAAAAGTTGTATCGAATACAAGATCAAGTTCAGATAAATGCGACGGTTTTGGAACATAGTCTGGTCGATTTATAATTTCTGTTATTTGAAATATACGCTCGCTTAAACTATCCGTTAATTTTTCACGTATAAATTGTCTTTCTGGAATAAAAGCAAAAAAAGAACTATAAAATGTTTTTGCTGTTATTATACACGTACCATTTTCATTAGAAAGTTGCATTAATTCAATTTTTACTGTCCATATTTCCCATGGTACTGATTCAGGACTAAATACCCAACGTTGTTTTTTCTTTTGATAAAATTCAAGTGTAATCTTAAGAAAAAAGCAATGGATAAACACTGAAAAGGTCATTTTAAATTACAATATCACTTACTTGTCCAGAGCGAGCAGTATCTGACGAACGTAATGCATCGTGAAATTGACTTATTTTTTCCGCAACAGCACGTTGTAATTCTTGACTTGTAACATGTAACTAAAGTAAAATAACTAACAAATTCAAGTGACAATTAAGTAGTTTACTTTTACTTACATATGTGCAATCAATAAAATCACAATCAACATCTGTATAACCTAATGTGCCAACAGAATAACTATCTTCACCCTTTGTATGATACTTGTATGATACGAAAGTAATATAGATATAATAAAAGAAAAGATTATTTTTTTTCGCACTTACTTTACCAACACAACGATGAAACAGAATGGTATGAAACATGCCTGAAATTGAAAACAAATTTTTTAAACGAGTTTTTCTTGTGAAATTGTACTTACATGAAACAACTTCATCAATTTGTCTGCCTTCGACAGCCTAGATAAACAAAATAATTGAAACTCTTTCTGGATTACCAAATATCATAGTCTTAAGACGAACATACTTATTGTAAACGCAACTTACACTTAAGGTTTTAAAAGATTTTGTTGTTACTTACAAATTCGAATGTTTGAGATCTTGCGTTCATTTTAATCTTAAAATCATATCACATTCGAAAATATATTGTCATCTAAAGATGAAATATTTCTTGAATAAAATGAACGTTTCGATCTTGTTGCTCATAATGAACAATATTTATTACTACGATTAGGTTAATTGCGTCAATTTAAGGGACCATGCTCATCTAGACTATACTTTTCTATATTGTATCTAAAACTGTATACTAGTACAGGATCTTAATGTTTAATTTATCTAAGTTATGAGAAAAACTGATCAAGCTTCTAAAATCTTGATGAATAGACTAAGATTTCTGTCATTAGAAGCAGTCGTTGTCAATATCTACACTAAAACAAAAATACCCAATTGATAGAAGACACTACGATATACCACTGTCGCAGAAAGACTAATTTTTGTACAATATTTTCTTTGAAAGAGGCATAACAAGACACAACACTAAAAATAACTAGAAAAAATTAGACGACGGTCATTTTTCTCGCTGTTATTTTTTTCTGTCAAGCACATGTTTCTCTAGACAGCAAAGGAGTTTATGATATTACTTTTTCATCTCATTCTTCAAATTTAACAGATATATTTGATCTAAACCAAGTTCGTCCAGATTTTCTCATGTGACAAAGGTATTATACACAAAGATGATAAACGGACGAATTACTTATTAACATTTTCTAATAATTATGGGCAAATTCATCGATAATACAGAAAAATCCCAGAATATTTGGTTGAATTGTCTGTTTACGATGAACATTTCCATAGATGAAATTTATAATGATCGTAGTTTTTTCTAGCAATCAACTACATCATCTGTTGTTAGTAAGAACAGTAATCGGCCGAATCAAAATAGTGACAACAGGCGTGACAATATTAATAACAATAATAATAATATCAATATTAATAATAATACCAATAATAATATTCTCAATAATACACAACAAAAACAACAAAAAACAAAACGTTACCATCGCTTGTCTAACCGTTATTGATGTAATGTGACTCAAGCCAAACGAAACGACAATACATTAGCCCACAAACTAAATATTTATTCTCACAATATCCAAAGTCTTGTTAAGAACTTTGGTCTCATTAGGGACAAAACTTTCTTCTCTTTAAGCGATTTTGACATTCTGTCATTTCAAGAAACGAATCTCGACTCGACAATTACTGATGGAGAGATGACCCTCTCGGGTTATTCTCTCGTTCGCCGAGATTGAAATCGACACGAAGGAGGTCTCGCAACGTATATTTCCTCTACTTTACAATTTTCTACACTCGCTTCTTTTGATGTTATTGAAGCCTTTTTATTACATGTACAGTCTCCTGCTGACTTTCTTTTATGCAACTGTTACCGT